CTACCACGTTTCTGACAAAATTCTTCACAAACGATTGAAATTGTCATTCGAAGACAATTACTGATTGAAACCATTGCAATAGCACCAATGGTTAATCCATCAATAAATCCATGAAGTGTATCACCAATTAATATCATCCATCCAATTGGTTTCATTTGTTGGAGATTTTCTTTCAAACTTTTGGTATTTTTCTGATGAAGAATTGCCTTTCAAACACAAAAAGAAAAAACAAAAGAGAATTTCAGATAAGATGACTTCTTCATGTCAAAGATTTCTTTTGTTAATTTTAATCGAATATTCTTCTTCTTCTTCTAAAAATAAACCTACCGAAATATCTTCATCAACATGATCATGTGTTGGAATTGTCTAAATCATTTAAAAAATTCGAAAGAAAAAAGAAATGAAATGTATCAAACCGTTTGAATATGAAAAAATATAGTTGATAATTGATCACGCATAAAAAATAAATATATAATTATTAATCCTACAAGACCTTTGTTAATAAATGTTGATTCTTTATCATGAGATTCAACATCAAATCCCTTTGTAAAATACAAAATAAAATTCAATTTTTAATGAAAAAAAAACAATTTATTTACCATTGGAATTAAATGAAATATTCCTGTTCCAAGAAGTGTTCCTACCGCTATTCGAAACAACAAATTAATTGAATTTTATCAAAACAAATATTACCCAAACCAATAAAACATGATAAAATCCATTTGAAAATTGGTCTTTTTCGAAAAGGTAAAATAATGGCACCAAATAAAGCAGTTAAATTAATCAAAGTTACTGAGATTAAACCAAATAGAAAATCTTTAAAGAAGAAAAAAAAAACAAATTCTTTATTTTTTGTTTTCAATTTCTTAAATAAACAAACGTTTCCATTTTGATGATTCTCGACTTTTATGACACGATGGATTCAATTTCATTGTGGCTAAAATTGGTGTTAAACGATGAAGATCTTCTTTTGATAAACTTGAATTTTCATTTAAATGAAATTTTTCTAATATTTCATTGGACGATGAAAAACACTTGAAGAGAAAAAAAAAGGAAAATTTTCAAAACGAATAAGAGGGAAAAAAAGAAATTTTTATTACTTGATTGGAATGATTTCTTTGATTTTGATTTAGTTGTTTATCGTGTTCATTTGCTTGAATTAATTTTTCATAAAATAATTTCAAATTCGTTGAATCTTTCAAATGTGAATAAAGTAAATTATTTTCCAAAGAATTTAATTGATCATTTTTAGTCGAAATAACATTCGAATTAATAAGAATAAGAAGAATCGTAAATAATCTTATCATCTAAATAGATTTTCTTCTCATTTAAATCAAATTCGATTTTGAAAAATGAAATTTCTCTTTCATAATTACTTTGACGTAAGAGAAAAAGAAAGTAACTTGTCGATATGTATAAAGATTGAATGAATCGATAACAAACGTGTCATTTTGTATTCGTTTCATCGGACGTTTTTTTTTTCTCATCGGATCTCAAGCGTAAAAAACACAAGACATATGAAATATATTGATGATTTCATTTTCGGATATTCTCTTCGATTTATTTGAAAGAAAAATTTCTTTTTTGAATATTTTAAAGAAACAAAAGAAAACGAAGTCATTTTTGTATTTGAATATTATTGTGAATAATCATCCATAGGATCATACCGATAATTTTGTTCGTTTGTTCGTTTATGAATTGATGTTATTCGATGACATGAACAAACACTAATTAATGGCATTTGTTCATTTACACGAGAACAATAAGTTATACAATAATGACTTAAATCCCAAACAAAACGACCTTCAATATTTTCAATTTGTAAACATATCGAATATAAAGCAAAAACAATGATGAAACTTTTCAATGAGAAATTCATTGTTATTTGTTAATTTCTAAAAGAAATTTCAGAAGTTGATTTTTTTTTTAAATATTTTCCATAAGAAATCTTACTTTATGTTGGATTTTTTTTCTTGATTTTGAATGATATGAAATGAAAAGATTTTGATTAACTTTATATAGACATCAGAATTCGATTGATTTTGTAAGGAAATGTGATATTTCCTGAAACAAAATACGTCATTAATCTCGAAATGTCAAATCAATTAAGAGAAATCCATTGAAATCTTGACAAATCAATTAAATGCTAAAAACGTTCTTTTAATCGTTAAACAAAAGACTCATTGATTTTCTCTTTTCTTTTCTTTTCTTCCCTTTTGAAATATCGAAATGATTTTGGAATGTCAAATTAAAGAAAAGATAAGAAAAAGAAATGTTTTACATTCTTTTCATTTGTAACAATGATTCAATTCTGGTTACTTTCTTCTTTTTTTCTCTTATTTCAATATTCTTTTGCAAATCAATGTATTTATTTGATTATTAAATCTGATAATACAACTGATACATGTGTTAATTCAAATTGTTCACAATTTCTTGATATTAAATCATTAATTGTTCAACCAAAAACATGTAAAACTGATCAATTATCTTTTTCATTTTCATCATATAAAACATTTGTTATATTTCGTCATGAACTTGGATGGAAATTAGGTGATTTATTTTATTCGAAATTGAATTCTCATATGAATCGTCAATTAATTTTATATTTGAATGAAATAAATGAAGATGATCAACCATTTGATTATAAAGAATTAATTCATTTAGGAATACATTTGGATTTTTATATTATTTTCATTAAAAATCATTCAGAATGGATAATGTCAAAATTGAAATTGTAATTTGAAATTTAGTTTTTATTATTTATTTCTGCGTTTTTTTTCTTAGTCGATGTTTGAAATTCAGTGCATTTGATAAATATCCATGTACAAGTCAAATTCTTTCACCTTTACATTGGATTTCTCATCAACAATCAACATTTTCGACAACAGAATTCATTTCAACAACAGAAATTATTCGAAAAGAAATCAAATCATCGACAAATTTCATTTTATTTGTAAGAAAAAAAAAAACAAAATTGATTAAGATAAAAATTGATTTCTTTTTGAATAGATTTGTCTTTTATTATGTAGTCTTTTCATAATCATCATAATCTTTATTTTTATTTGGAAATATTTAATTAATCATCGAAAAATTCTTTCTGAACCTTCAATTGAAAAGTATTTCTTTGTTTTTCTTGAAAAACTTCATTAAAACGATTATTTTAGAATATCTTCAATATCTACAATAACAATCGATCGAAGAGAATCATTTAATCATCATCAATCAATGGTTTTAGATACAAATTCTGTTGAAAGACAACAAGAATTTGTTTTAATTTCATCTACAAATTTTTTTTAAATAAAATTTTCTTTTTAATCAATGACATCTTCATTAAAGAATTTCATTCGATTTCCAATCTTTATCACTCGAATATAGATTTTATTCATTCTTTGGATCGAAGATTATTTTGAATTTAAAGAAATTATGTTTCCAAGAATTTCCAATATTCATGAAGAATTCGTTAAATCAGCAGCAAATAGTAAACTTTGTTTCGAATTTTCTTTATTATTTTCATTGAAAATGTTTTCTTAGATGATTTGAGACAAATTANTAAAATCAGGTGGATTATGTCGAACATTCGAAGGACAATGTTTATTAGCTAAATTATATTATGCACAAGGACGTTTTGATGAATGTTTAACAAGTGTTGATTTAGCAATTAATTCAATACCAAATGAAGATGAAGAAGAACCACATCGATCATCTTTATTATTAGCTGAAGTTTATTCACTCAAAGGTCTTTTATTAGAGAAAAAAGATGAAGAATTATTTGATATTATCAAAGCATTTGATGATTCATGTAAACTAAGTAAAACATATTATGCAGAAGTTGAAAAAGCGAAAAATTTAAGTAATGAAAATTTGGATATTGAAAATTCATTAATTGAAATAGCTTATCAACGTTTACCACTTTTACATGCAGCAAATAAGTAATTTTCTCTCTCTCTCTCTCTTTTTGATTTAATATATGTTTGTTTGTCATTTAGTAATGTTGCAACAGCAATTGAAATTTTTCGTTCGTATATACAAAATGTTCACATAAAATCATTGGAAACAATGCGACAAGTCTGACTTTTCTTAAATAAATAAAATTTTTTTTGAAAATGTTCTTTAGACATTGATAAAACAATATGCACAACTATTAATAAAATGTGTTTGTAAAGGAAATTATCCTCCAATCAATGGCGATTCCAATGATCATCATCATCATCATCATCATCATCATTTTCTTCCTCATCGTCGAAATTCTCAGTAAAGATTTGTTCAAAAGAAAAACAAAACATCAAATAAATGATATTTATTTAGACCATTATTTGTTCCTCGAGATGTTGATGAAGAAATTTTACTTTTATTATTATTGGGTCAATCAGCAACATTAAATGAAGCAGTACTCGATTGGCAACCTGAATACGAAGCACAACGAGAACGAAGTCATCAAGCTGCTTATAATATTCTTTCACTTTTAGCGATATTTTTATCTCGTAAACAAGCATTTCATTTAATTGCAGAAGTAAACTATTCAAACAAATCTTTTTTTTTTGAATTATTTTCTTTTCATTTTTGTTTTTCAAAAGTCTTATGAACAAGCACTTCGATTTTCTTTTGAACATTTTCAAACTTGGTATAATTACGGTTTAGCATTAATTTCATCTGGTCAATCATTTCGAGCATATCTTATTTTAAAAGAATGTCTTCGAATGCAACCACAAAATATTCAAGTTTATTTACAACTTTCAAAAATTATTCTTCAATATATTTATGATGTTTGTTTACATTTTTCTTTTCGAAATATTTTCTTTTCTTTTTTCCTTGTTCAGGTTCCTTCGTTATTTGAAACATTTCCATCAAGTGGTGAAGATGTTCAACCATTAATAAAACAAACATTGAATCAACAACAACAAAATCAATATGAACAACGACCACCATTTCTTGATTTAGTATATTTTTTTCATTTTTCAATTTGTGAAATTTATCGTTTTTGTTTTTGGTCATAAAAAGATTGATGAAGCGATCAATTATTGTCAACAAGCAAAAGAATTACAAAATCCTCCATTTCCTCGATCATTACTTCTTCTTGCTTTGGCTCAATCATTTAAAGCTCGTCAAACATCGATTCATCAAGATCGACAAAAATTATTTCAATCAGCGATTAAAGAACTTCGAGAGTAATCTTACTTTGGATTTTTTATTTCATCAATCTTTTTTTCATTTATTTTCAATAGATGTGTTGAATTAGATCCATATGATTCAATTGCACATTTTCATTTAGCACAAAATTTATCTTTTCTCAATCAAGTTTGTTCTTTTCAATAAAATTTCATATTTCAAATCTTTTTTCGAATAGACCGATGAAGCTTTGAAATCCATTGAAACTTGTTTATTTTTATCACCCGATGATAAACACGCACTTCATCTTCATACACTTCTATTAACTGCAAAGAAACAAATTCCTGAAGCTTATGCACAAATTTATCGTGCAACAAATGATTATCCTGACATAAAGTATGTACAAAAAAAAACAAATCTCAAATCCAACTTAATATTTCTTTCTTTAGTTTATTGTTAACAAAAGCATCGATTGAAGAAGAGTTATATGGATGTGAACAATCCATTGTAACTTGTAAAGAAGCTTTAATTTTATGGAAAACTGAAATTGAACCATTATTAATGACTAATTCTCATCATACTCGAGGAATTTCTCATTCAAGGTAAAAAGAAAAGATACAAAATATAAAATGAAATTCGTTTTATTTTGATTTAGTGCTGGAAATCGTACAATTGGTCGATCACAAAATCCTTCGATTAATACTGAAGGTGAAATTGAACAAAATCCAACTGGAGTATTGAAAGTTGAAGATGGAATTAAAAATTTATTATTATTAAATATTCGAACTTCATCTGGTTTAGTTAATGACGAAAATTTTCTTTCAAATAATCGTTCTTCAACTTCATTATTCTCAATTCAACCGGTTTATTTTAATTTAATTCAAATTTTTGAACATCTCGGTAGAAAAACTTTCTTAATCGAAATATTTTTTGTTGTCTTTATCTTAATATTTTAGTTCGATATTACATAAAATTAGATAAAATTGATGAAAGTGAACGTTGTTTAAAAGAAATTTCCCCATTAAGTCCATTTTGTCATCAAATGTTTTATCTGCGTGGATTAATTTACAATGCTCGTGGTCAATTAAAATTAGCCAAACAAAATTATAATGATGCTCTGGCGATCAATCCTTTTCATTATCCAACATTAATACAATTAACAAAACTTTTAATTCAAATTGGAAATTATTCTTTAGCTGAAAAATATGCACGTGATGCTATTTCAATTCAACCATCAAATTATCAACCTTGGTAAGAAGAGAATTTGATTTCTTTGCTAATCGAATAAAGTTTTTTGGTTTTTATTCCAAAGGTATTTATTAAGTTTATCAATGGAAGCTCGTGGTGAATACGAACAATCGGTTGATGTTGGTGCAACAGCTGTTCATTTAGAAGGAGACTCACCTATCGTTTCTTATCATTCGATTATCCGAGTACTCTAGTCACATTTTCTTTTTCTTTTCTCCTTTGATATTAATTATATTTATTATGATGTAAACGTAAATAATGTCCGGGTAAAAGTGTATCGTAGATATCTGATTGATTTTCATGTTTCCCATATGATAGTGTACGATTTTGATTGATTGGAGGACGGGTTGAAGAGAAATTAGCAAGAGGTTCGTACGGAGGCGCAGGCTGAAATTAAAAACAAGACTTTGAGAAGTGAAAATATAAGAAATGATTCATTAAGACGTACAGGAATAGCACCAGGTTTTGCTGCTGTGGTTGTTGACGGTGACGACGACGACGATGATGATGAGCCAGATGATGGTCGTCGAACTTGCTGTTGTGGTTTAATTGTAGGTGGAGGAATTTGCGGTCGTCGTGTATAAGTATGTTTTAATGTTGGATCGATTTCACTTGGTTTCAGTGGTTGTTCACGTTGAGATGGTGAACGACGTTCAAGAGCTTCCTTTACGGCATTGACTACATTTTGATAAACAACTTGATTCGGATGCGGCTTCGGTTGTGGTCGATCTTGTGGAAATACCGATGGTTGATAAGGACTTTCATAAGAACCCCATGGTGGATACATCGCTGGAGGCGGATTGGGTCGATTTCGTTGATCTTGAACATATTCTTCCATGACACGACGAATACCTTGTAGTTCTCGTAAAAGAATTAAATCCGCATTGGGTCCACGTGGATCAGACAGCGGTCTGTGAACTGCTGGTATTGATATTGGTGCTGAGGATGAGGATGACGAATGAGATAAACGACGTGACGGTGGTTTCTTTTGAAATTGAGTTCGATGTTTTTTACATAGATGTTGAGACTGATGAGAAGAAGAAGATTCGTCTGAATGAGTTCTATGACGATGTTTATGTAATAGACCGTGTGAGTAAGCAAAATCTTCCATTGCAGCAGCAAAATAAGGATCATTTTCAATTAATTCTGCAATCTCAGCTTGATCATCATCACGTTCTAAGTCATGAAATGATTTCTTCGTTCGTTTTTTCGAAAAATGGGATGCTGAAGAAGGTATTGTCGGCGTTTCTTGCTCCCGTTGCTGTTGTTCTCCTGCCTGTTGACCTTGCTCTAGTATATGCCGCTGCATATTGAGTAAATGCTGTTGAAAAGCCTCTTGCTGTTGTTGAACTTGTCTCAGTTCTTCTTCTGTTAAAGGTCGATGCGTATCGTCCTGTGTAGTCGTCGTCGCATTAATGATATTATTAGCAGTAATAATTGGCGGACCATCGTGCTCTTCAACTACCTAGAACAATGAAAGCGCTTCAAGTAAATATGAACAGAGATATATCGACCTCTGATATAGGCTCAGGTCTCCTTGATATTCTTCGTTCCATTTCTTCATTGGTGGCTTCCAATGTTGGTAAACGTGAAGTCAGATTCAATGGTGGAACTGGAATCTGTTGATTAATTCCATATTTAGGTTGACTGTGTAACGCAGGAACAACTTGAGGTCGATTGGTAATTGGCATTTGATCTAACGTTGCCACTCGAACCAACCGTGGCGTATGTCGATGATGTTTTCGACGCTGTCGTGGTAAACATGATGTAATAGCATGATGACCATTTAACAATTGATTTGCATAATCTACACTGTAGTTATGATAGTAGACATCATAGTCATCGTCATCAGATAAACAATCGTCGTAGTAATCGTCGTAGTAGCTCATCACTTTGTAATGATATCGACTATGAAAAACAAATGCCCATGAGACACCACGTTGGCGGCGTAGCGCGAAGGTTTTTTTTCTTTTTCTCGATGTATGCAAGGTTTTTTTCATTGGGAGAATATTTGTCATCGAAATGGTATGTAATATTCGATCGACTATTTATCATTGAATCATTTTGTAACAAATTTCCTTTTTCGCTCTCAATAAAATGCATGTATATTAGTAATATTTTATTATTTCTCATTATCGTTGAAAACGTATGTGGATAGTATTCAAAATATCATCCAATACCCTCAAATCACTATTACCGATTTAATCCTAGTCTACGCCAAAGTTGTTCATCTTTGACTCATACCAGAAATCTATGCAACTTCTATTATGTGTGGAAAGAAGCAAAAGTTTACTATCATGATGTTCTCTACGAAATAGACCTAAAATTATGCAACTTGAATTCAGAGAATAATTTCATCACAAGCTTTGAAAAGCTCGGACGTAGAAATACAAAAGTCAATCAATCTTTCTTTTTAGTTACAGATCTGAGTTTTAGAGAATGCATTCCTGGAGTACATTTGTCTGTCATTTAAAATTGTTGCAAGGAAGGAACACCGTCGAAAATCCGAAGAGAAAGCGAGGTACAAATTTTCCACGAAATAATGCTATTGGCAGCCACATGTTATCGTCTGTTATTTGTTTTAGTAAATAGAAAGATTTTGTATTCGCACGAAGTAGAAAGATATTCGAAGAAAATGGTTTATTGGCGATGCTGGCAATAGTGAGAGAATAAGATAGACGAATAGAATTTCATGGCTTATCGTCATTGTTTTCAAAAGAGATAATGTTTGTACACGCCAATACATACAAAGCCGGTCACTATTAGATATCACTAGTTGAAACCAACATCTAAGACAAATCATCCATATACTTGAACGGAGGAACCGCTTCGTCCAGCCACCTTTTGATTTTTATCTTCTTTACGACGCGCGACGCAATTGCATATATGACGGTTGTTCCGGCCGGTCGAGTCCTTTATATTTGTTTGTCCGACCGCTATGCATCTTTCCAGACGTATAAATAGTCGAGGAATTCATATAAGCCACTAACATAATCGACTTTTACCAGTAAACACTCGTTTGTGTTATCCGCGCTGTCACCGCCCTATAGACATATCCACCATCGTCAAGACTGAAGAAATGGCATCAAACGAGAAAATCACAGTGAGAAGTTTTGAAATTAATAGTTCATATCAATATGATTGTCGTTTTTAGGTCTTGAATATGCTTATCCAAAACACCGCATCATCCAACGAACTGATCCAGTACTATACGGAACGCATCCGAATCTAAGTCAAAGAACGCCGTTTTGAAGGTATGTGGCGTGTTAGTCTTGATTGAGTGTCAACTCTAAAAGTTAAATTTAGACCTGTTATCCGATGTTAACGTGTTGGAAACATTCCCAGATTATTGTGGCTCGGTCGGTTCCGACCGGTTCAGTTCACTTTCCGACGACTTCCTTGCCGCCGGAAGTTCAAACGAAGTTTCCAGTTACCTCATTCGACTAATGACACTGGTGTACGTGCGCTTTCTGTTTTGTTAAGGGTATCAACTATTCATCTTGATATGAACAAGGTCAAGAGATTGATCTACCAGAGACTAGCACATAGCTGTAAGTTATCTTTCTTTCTGCGTAACAGATTAAAAATATATTCTTTATTTAGTTGACGATCACCTGACTCAATCCGTTCAGTTGCTCAACATCACCCAGGTCAAAAAATCTGATCGGATTCCTGGAAACGGAATTGCATTGGAATCCGACTAGAAAAATTCCATCGGTTGTTGCAAATTTTATGAGCGATCTTTTTAGCTATGTTCTATGATGACCCCTAGAAAATCCAGGAAATCCATGCTTCGGATCCGTCGAATTCCTGTAGGATCTGATAAAATCCTATATTGGATCCGAGTATGGGGTTGTTCGACCTGGGCATTGACCAAGCGAAATCTAAAATAGAAAAATTAATTAGAAGTAATTTTGTAGATATTCTCTGATGTGTTCGCAGCGATGAATTTGTTTTTCAGTGGATAAAGCGAAGATTTCGTCGACAAAATGAAGCAATACAATGGGCAGCGTCAGTGGTGCAGGTGTTTTCCGATGGTCTTTGTTTTTCTCTTTTGTTTCCATGTTTGCTATGTATCGGTTGGATTTAATTTTGTAGTATTTTCAATCATTTGTAAATACAGTGATTTTATCATTGAGATAATGATACAACAGAGTAATTGACTCATAGAAAACAATTTCGGTTTTGTATTATATATATCAATTGAAAAGAAACAAACAAAAAACAGAAGAAATAAATAATAAACCTTTTAGTCTGAACGTGTACTATAGTTGATCAACATTTTCAAATAAAGAACCAAATGCATTGTGCAAATCATCATAATAGATTTGCCGGATTTCTTTTACGGTATGTTCACCAAGTACAAGAAGATTGATTAGAATTGTTGACGAGAATTGATTTTGTATCTCTTGTTTAATTTTTTCCATATCAACTTTCGCATCAAGATTATCTGGATTTTTCGGTCTTTTCCAATTTCGTATTCGTGCTAATCGTTCAATTTCCTTTCCATCAGGTTCTTCATATTTTTCTAAGAAGAATTTATGAGAATCTTTTATTTTACATAGAAGTTCTCCTTTAAAATAAGATTCGAATAAGTTTGTCAATTGGTGTGCACTGCTGAATGTATGAAAATACTTTCTTCGATCATCTTGCTTAAGTTGTTGTTCAGCTGTTTCATAGACAAAAAGATATTTTCCATCATTGAAATATAAAGCTTCAAATGGAATGGAAGAGTCGAAATCACAAATAAGAACACGACATTGTTCAATTAAACTTAATGTATTTGTTTGTTGAACTGAAATGATATTTTTCGAATTGAATAATTCATTCGCGTGTTTTCGTTCTAAATCACTCAAATTAAATAAAGGATTATCAGAATTATCATTCGATGGATATGTCAAAGGATGTAGTTTGATTGCGTATTCAAATGGAAATGATAAAATAAGTTGAATAATTTCAGAATTTGATAAGAGACTAAAAGGTGCTTGTTCTGATGAAAAACTTGGACAAATAAGAATTTCATGCCTTTGATTCACTGTGGAATGTTTTGTACGAATGTAATTCGTAAATGTAATTGGTAATCGATGTGAATTTTGATGAGCACAACTCTGACATCCATACATACAATGACCTGTTGAATAGACATCGATTATCCATGGAATATGATTTTGTATCATACGAAAGAAATCATATTGTAATTGTCCAAATGAATAATTAATTGAAGCAGTGAGAAGAATGATTATTTCATGTTGTTTTTCTTGTTGATGAAGAGCTTCGCGAAGAATTGTATCAACGGCGAATTCGTAGACGAATATATTTTTGAATTTCGAAAAATAATTTTGCAATAATCGTTGAGCTGGATTCCATTTATAAACAAATATATAAACATCAGCAAATGAAGCAAACGAGAGAATCAATTCTACGTGAGCATAATTTGTATGATAAGGTACGAAAAATACCAGATTATTTGACATCAAAAGTCGTTCTTGACATAAACTAATGAAAAAATGTATTAAGCCTTTCTTTTTTCTCGATGATAGCTAATAAACAAATCTAACGTGGATTGTTGTGCCACACGATATTTTTCACGTGACAGTCAAGGTCATTATCGTTCTATCGTAAAAAACGGATCAATAGAAAAGCTCGATTCGTAATTTCTATTTCGACATTCAACAAAAGTATCAATACAAACTTGTTTGAGATATGTGGATGAAGAAAAAAAAAACAAACTTGTTGCTCTGTTTTGTTTTAGATCAAAATGTAAATGCGTTATATACTCGACGAGAAAGAAAAAGAAAGAGAAAAAGAATCCGATGAATCATAAGAGTGTTTTCAATGAAAATGTTAATTTATCTTTTATTTATATGGAAAACATGTGTTACAATACACATTAAAAGATATTTTTTTTTGCGAATGAAAATACACACATGTAGACTAACCGAGGTCATTGGAAATGATCAAAGGAATGATAAATATGAATTATCTTTATATCGTTGGTCAATATACGATAAGAGTATTTAAGTAAATAACGTCATTTTTTTGTTTCATCAAATGATAAAACTTCGGGAATTGAGAAGAATAAAAGATTTTCATATTCTTGGAAGTTAGTTTGTTTTGAAACGTGAAAAATATGAATACTCTAACTATGATTTATTAATCTAAAAAACGAAGCATTCTAAACACATTAAAATGTCTTAATAAGAAGTTTCTTGATCAATAAATGATCCCGGAAATTTTCGAATTAATAATTTTCTCCATTCATCATAAACAAAAACAAGTAAAGTGAATGGTAATGGTAAGAACCACCAATGTAATCTAAAAAATATCTTAACAATTGAAAATTTTCTCAAAAGAAAAAAAAACAATATACTTTAAAGGATACATCATGAGACCACGATTAACATATGGAGTATATGAAATGATAATTGCTAAAACAGTTTCAAAAATAATACTCATATTTAATACTTGATTTCTAAAAAAAAAGATTTTCTATAAGAAGAATTTTATTTAGATAATTCGAATAACATACGACATTCCTTGATGAAAAAGAGAATTTCGCCGAGATTTACAACATAACAGAACAGTCCATTGAACAATAACAACAGTAACAAAGAAAGCTGTGTGACATGTATCTTCCAATGCTTTACGTTGTTCATAAGACTGAAGAAAAATCAAAGAAATTATTTACTATAGAAGAAAAGAAAGTGAAATCAAACCCATTCTTGTCCATAAGAATCTTCTAAATCATTAACCGCTCTTGAATCCCATGATTTTCGTAATCCTAATAATCTTGAAGGTAGAAATCCATTTTCTGCCATAACAACTGTATAAACAAAGAATCCTCCACCCGCTTGAATCATTCCTAATTGCCCATAACTCATCCAAATTAATCGATCTGTAGCTAAATGTTCACGTTTGGCGTCTCTTGGTGGACGTTGCATAATATCTGATTCCGCTCTTTCGTAGGCTAATGAAATAGCAGGAAACATATCCGTACCCAAATCAATACATAAAATTGCAATTGTTCCTAAAAAGAAAAGAAAACTGAAGTGTAAGTTTGAACACAAAAATGAAGTACATGCCTAATGGTAAAGGAATTTCAGCGATCATATAAAACAAAAATGGAGCTAATTCGGGAATTTTCGATGATAATGTGTAACAAATAGATTTTTTCAGATTATCAAAAATTAATCTTCCTTCTTCAATTCCGGTGATGATCGATGCAAAATTATCATCCAATAGAATCATATCTGATGCTTGTTTACTCACATCTGATCCTGTAATTCCCATTGCAATTCCAATATCCGCTTTTTTCAATGCTGGTGAATCATTCACTCCATCGCCAGTCACAGCAACAATTTCTCCTAACCTCTGACAACTTTCCACAATAATCAACTTTTGCTGAGGACTTGTCCGTGCAAAGACCACTTCTTCATGAGATTTGATAACTTCATCTAATTGATCTTTAGTTAAATTTTTCAGTGCATTTCCATGAATAACACACGCTTTTGTTGTTGTATCATTGATATTTTCTAACAGTTTCTCTGTTGGACTTTGATCTGTAATAATTCCTGTGGCTCGAGCAATCGCAGCTGCAGTTAATGGATGATCACCTGTAACCATCAAAATTCGAATACCAGCCGATCGACATTTACTTACAGCTTGTGCAACGTTTACGCGTGGTGGATCAATTAAAGAAATTAAACCTAAAAATCTGAGACCAGTAGTTGGAAAATTGAAATTTTCATAATATGGATTAACATGAAAATTAATTGTATCACAATCGAATGGAAAGTCTCGAGGATATTGATTTAATGGTAAACGATAATCAGCAAATGCTAAAACACGTTCGCCAAGATTACCTAAAATAAAAAAAAAGTTGTCTTGATTATTCTTTTACAAATGAAATCATTTTTACTTAATTCTTTGAATGCTTTTTCATATTCTTTTTTCCAATAATCATTAAAACCGATTTCCGAGCCATCAACAAATATTGTTGAGCAATTTTTGAGGATTTTTTCTGGTGCACCTTTCATAACAAGTAAATATCGATCATCATTATCATTTGTCGAATGAATTGAAAATTGATAACGATTTGATGAAGAAAATTGAACTTCACAAATCTTTGGATTTATTGTTCGATATGTTGACACACTTCCGACCTAAAATTCATCAATATTTCTTTCAAATACGATCTAATTCTTTACAAAAAATTACTTACAGTTGCTTCCATACATTTCAGAATGGCTGTTTCACTTGCATCACCTTCACTTTGTCGTTGTAAAATTGGTTTAGTAAGATTGTCTGGATCATCTTTAAATATTGCTGTATTACATAACATTGCACAACGTGTTAACGCTTTCCAACAATGAGAAAATCTTGTATAATTTGATTCTAAATCAAATGAACATATTGAATTCACAGCTTTCAATATTCAAATTCGTTTACTCGATTGAAAAGCTTCGACATCTGCATCAATAATATGGTTATCAAACCACATATGAGCAACAGTCATTTGATTTTGTGTCAATGTTCCTGTTTTATCTGAACAAATGATTGTTGTTGACCCAAGAGTTTCGATTCCTTCCAAATTTCTTACAAAACAATTTTTCCGTGCCATTCGTTGTGCTGTTAATGTTAAACAAACCTTTAAATTACAAACGATAACCTAATCTTCTCTCAAAGAAAATGACTCACAGTAACAGTGGCTAGAAGACCTAAAAATAAAAGAAAACAAAATTTGTTGGAGAAATCGAAAATAAAAGTTCGAACCTTCAGGAACTTGAGCGACGATCACACTGATAAGAAAAACGACGGCTTCAACGTATGTATAGCCAAGTGAAAGAGAACAGATACAAAAGATCACACCAACAACAACGGCAATGATCGTTATGATACGAATGAAATGATTGATTTCAGTTGCAATTGGAGTTTTACCCGATTCAACACCTACAAACGAAATTCTTTAAATAAAATTTCGAAGATTTTCTTCTCAATCAAACCCGCAGTTAAATTTGCAATTCTTCCAATGAATGTTTTGTCACCAGTACGAATAACAACACCAATGCATGAACCTAAATAGAATCCAAGATAAAAGCTTTAATGAATACCAATCAAACCTTCGACAGCAAATGTTCCAAAAAAAGCTAAATTTCTTGTTTCTAAAGGATCTTCATTTGTATATTCAGTTCCACGTGATTGTGGTTCAGATTCTCCAGTTAACGAAGAATTATCAACTTTGAGACCATGCGCACGAATTATTCGAATATCAGCTGGAATTCGATTGCCACGATGAACTTCCACAATATCTAAAATAAAATTATTTTTCAATGATCTTTTCATTGAAAACTTCAATCTTTTACCTCCGACAACGATATCTTCAGGATTAATGTTTCTCGATCTTCCATGTCGAACAACACAAGCTTTGTTAAAACGAAAAGGTCAATTCAAATTTCACTCAATCTCGATAGAAACCTGCTTGTGGAACTAAATATTTGAACGATTCCATAATTTTCGAACTTTTCGCTTGTTGATGATATGAAAAGAATCCCGTAATAATAATTACGCTTGCTAGGGCAATTCCTAAATACATCTAAACAGAGATGTTTACTTGAAGAAAAGAAAATTAAGAGTTAAAATACAAACATTATCATATTGCGGATCTTCTAATGTATACAATTCCAAAAAATGTGCAATAAAACAAAGAAAAGCGCCAACCCAGAGAAGCATCGCAAAACCACCGAACATATTTTTGGCTAAACGAACTATTTCAGGAGTTGTTCGAGCTGGTGTTAAATCATTTGGACCATCCCGTTCAAGAAGCACTGCTGCTCGTTCTTCTGTAAGGCCCTACAAAGAAAAAAAACAATGTCAACATCAAATAAATCCAAATGAAATGTTTTACCATTGCAGGACTTGTTCCATATCTTCGATAAACCTCACCAATGGAAATTTTATGTTCGTCCTTCAAAAGACGAAAGTCACTTTGATATTTCTTGAGAATATTTCGAAACATACCAATTCAATTTCATTTTTCAATGCTTCCAAATTATCTCGTGCAGCTGGTTTTTTATCACGAAACTAAAAAAGTCGATTTATTTTCTCGAAAACTTGTCACAAGCGTTTTCTTTTTCTTTTACCATAATTTGAACTTGTATTGCGTTTGACTAGAGAAATACGGGCTATCGATTTTGCATTAACAGTAGAATTAAAATCGATCAAGCATAGCTGTCAACTGAAAGAAAAGATAAAAAAAAATATACCTTTCAGTCGAGGGAATAATGCAGTCAAATATCTTACCTGTATGATCAATATGATGTATTTTTTGTCTTCTTCTTACGAAGGAGAAATAACGTGATAGATATTCTTTTCTTTCCTTTTTCTTTTATATGAAAAAAGTCAATTTCAATAAATATGTGGCTTCTTTCTCATCCTGTACTAATTCGTTTGTGAAGTTATTATCTATATGAGAATACTTGATCAAATATTGATTTTAAAAAGAGAATATTTGGTCGACTTTAACTTGATCATGAAAAACGAAAAGAAATTGACGTCAATGACATTTCCTCTAATGAATTGATTCTTGTTTTGGAAGTGAAGCGAATAGAAATGTGAATTGTACATCTCAATTAAAGTGCAAATACAAACGTTAAAGTATTACACAGTTCTTTCCTTTAAATAAAGAGAAAAAAGAGCAATGGATGGATCACTGATAAAGAAAAAGTACGAAACAAGTTCGTAGACCAATATTGACAGCAAGAACACACAATTACTGGATAGCACCGTTCAGGTACATAAAAAAATTATGTAGTCGCATTTGATTCATTATAATCGTCTTTATTTTTACATCATTTTAATTGTTTAGTGTAGAGAAAAGTTGCATATCGGTTTCTGAAAACTCCTTGCATCGTGAATTCACCTAATGGATGCTGTACAGGCAAAGATGGATCCTAACTTTCAAATTCTAATAACTTGATCTTCGACAAACTAAGATTTTATATTCAGAATCATTGTATAGAATACATCGCAAGCACAATTCTATATTTAAAAAAGCATTTCTCAGCTAAATTTCACTTGAAGAACGTTATACAGCGAAAAACTGACCATAAAGTCACTGAAGGGGATGTGACGGCACCATTGGTCATCGTTTCTTTTCCCATCTCTACTGATGATTTTCGGGCGTTCAAAGCTCTAAGGCATTACATTGATCATATTTCTTTATATTTTTCGTATCGAGAAAAAAGGTCTACTTTGCACATCGATTAGACCATCTCAGGGCATACAAATCAGACTTGACTGAGAAAATTACAGCATACAGATTAATCTTCAAAATCAAAAGAGCTCTAGGTAAGAGAACAATATTTAACCCATCCACTTTCCCATTCACAGTCTCACACAGTGTAGTGCATATAAGATAAAGTTGAAGATAAATACTGCGCGGTGAACAAAACCGTGTGTCAATAACGACATCTGTGATCAATTGTCGTGTAAGAAGTTGAAGAAGAGACTGTCGAAATTGAACTAGGAATGACGGAGACATAATTCAGATATAATTTATGAGAGAGAGAGGACAATCGCTTTTATTTCATTCCCTTTTGTTTATCCAGTGTTCAACACAGTTTAAATGTGCTATAAACAGGTATCGTTAGTTTTAAGATGCTCGTATTCTGAATCCCAAAAAGCCAGTTATATAATACATAACAAAGTCTTAGAGGAAGAAGATGAAGTATGTGTTATGGAATATTCTATGTCACATTCCATAAGGAATTATTCAGTGTGTTTTCTTTCGTTCTCTTATACGTATACATATGTTTCGTCCGTTCTTCTGACCTCGATGTATATTCTATTGATCTTTTCCTATGACTCACATATGCAAGTGATAGTACAGGTATTTTTCAAGATAATCATATCGGAAATATCCGTCGGTCAGATATAGATAAATACGGACTACAGTTGCGTAATGTGGGTGTGCCTCTTTTTCTTAACAACATTTGTTATTCGTTATTAAACAATAAAGTTTCTTACGTCGGTAAAACGGATCTAACAGTGAGGATTTTAAACAAAACTGCAGTTTTCCATTATTTTATTCTCCTTTAGAACAAAAGCCAGGTGATGATCTCTTCGACGAAAACGAGTCACTGCGGGCCAAAGTGAAACAGTTAGATGATCAACTGGAAGTTAAAGAATCGCTCATTGTCAAGTTGACCAATGATCTAAAGACTTTAGCCGAACGGGTGGAGTCATAAGAAAAGAAAATTTTGGAATTACTAGCAAAGATCGATTACGAGCGAGAATTTCGTTTGAACCGATCCGACGATTCTAATTCACCACCTCTTCCCAGATCGATCATTCCGGCGACTAGGAAATAGTCGGAAAACGTACCTAACCGGCCAGAACCGACCGTGTCATAATAACCTGGGTTCAAAAGAAGTGAAGACTTGACCAATGGCGCAAACAACGTCAATTACTCAAAACTCTATTGTAATATATTCCATGTTCATTAAACACAATGTCTATATAGAAAACATTATTTTCTTTTTTGTTAACTCATCATATGAAATTCTTTGTCATTTCTGATAAATGTGTGGTGTACTTCTCATCTTCTATTAATTCAGTCGTGATAGGTTATTATCTATGTGGGAACACTTGATCATATGTTGATATAAAGGAAGAAAAAGTATAATATTCAAAGAAACTCTGTAAGATAAACCATTTTCTATCAATGACTTTTTCTTTGGTGAATTGAATCTCGTTTTGGAAGTGAAGCGAACGCAAATGTTACTCGTATATCTCAGTTTAAATAGATACATAAAACATAATCTTTTATACAAGGAATGAAAAAGCAAAACGATCTTTAAATGAATCATTAAGAAAAAGAAATGCGAAAAACGAAGAGACTTACCATATAGTCGTAATTTTGAATACAAAAGGCATCGTAATTGATTTGGACTGTTGTCGATAAAACAGAATATATAAAAAGCATATGGGAAAATCTTTTGTCTTCCCTAATCGACGTTCGTGTTAAGAATAATAAATGACTTTCTGTTGTAAGATTTATATAATCTTCGTATTTTCGTTTCTTTTTTGTGTATTAACCATAAACAAGAAAGAGGAAAAATTGCATATGGTGGGGAATATGATTTCGTAGCAAAATCATTTATGTTAAAAGCAAATGAATTTGTGAAAAACTAATATTAACTGACATCACTACTATAGGGGGCTATGTGGTCTTTGTGGCCTTGGTGGTCTTGGTGGTTTTGGTGGTCTTGGTGATCTTTTGGAGAGATGCGCGTAATATATCGTATTGCGATTTATACAAAAAACTAATTCTTTTGTACACAGTCGAGGGTTAAGTGAGTCGCAATGACGAACGTTACTTACTGATGTCAGGCGACATATCTTCCCTTGCAAATCTTCCTTACATTACCGTCATAGAACTTGCTCGATGTCTTTGTCAGTATAAATTCAACTCTTTATATATCCATATCTAAATCACGAGTTTTACAGAATTACAAAAAATATCATATCTCACAGACCACCAAGACCACCAAAACCACCAAGACCACAAAGATCATAATACAGCTACGGTTACTATAGTCTATCACAAATTTCTTCGCATACAAACTCTCTTATGAAACAAGTGTTAAGCCGTTTTCTTAGCGCAATGCATAAGTATATTGATCATTTAATTTTGTCGAAAAATGTCATTAAATTCGAATTTGCCGTAAAATCAAATTCCCCACGAACTCCTAGTCAACGCTCATCGACACCAATTTAAGTAGAACAGTGGCAAACAGTACAATTAGAGTGAAGTTTCGAGTGAAAGAGAACAATGATAACAGGGTAATCATTCATCATCCCACACTGAAAACAAAAAAGATTTTGTACACAAAATATCGTTGGATTTTATCTTCTTTATTTTACATCGAAGGGGAAGACAAAGAGAATGGACTAGATGATACATATCATGTGATATCCTATTCCTATGATGAGTGAATACAACGATGAGAGAAGACTAGATAGATAGTGAGAGAGAGAGAGAGAGAAAAGGCCCAGAGTGGACTATGTGGGTTCATCCCGTAACACATTGGAATAATTGAAAGTGAATGTCCACCAATGTTTTATTTTCCAACTATTTCTATTTTATTTACGAATATTTATTTCATTTATGAGAGAACTGATATGAAAGCATTTCTAGATTGACAGCATGCAAATTCTTATATTTGTTATGAGAATCATTCGTTTTACGATAATTATTTTCAAAATCAATCAATAATTGTTCCAAACGAGTAGCTGCCTAATTCGCAACACACTACAATCCCTATCCAGATAGAAATAGGAATAGACTTAGTTTCACTTGTATACTCTCACTCACACCCTCAAGAAAATCTCTCATCAATCTATAATAATGCTCGAAATCAAATTGAAAAAGAAGTTATTATAAATTCTAATTCAACATTGAGTAATGAATCATTATCATGAGATGGAATTATTGAAATATTAAGTAAGAATGTTCATATTAATCGGAAGGAATTCATCGACTAGATAAAGGAACAAGACGTGAAGATCGGTATTTAAATGAAGAGAAAAGTTTCATAAAAGATGAAGAAGATCAAAGTAAGCAAATTCTGGGAGAAAAAAATTCGTCTTGAAATTATAGATCACAGAACATGCGCAGAAGTGCTAAGCGATTTTGAAGATTTATATCAAGGAGAACAATGTATAGATTTAACATTTGACAATAAAAAGAAGATATTTGATGAAATTCTTCATAATCAAATACAAGCTATTGAAAAAATCAAAATATTCGATGATATAGATCAATTATGTTATGAAAATGGATCTTCAAGACAATTTTTTTAAAAATATTCATCATTTAGTAGCTAGTAAACATAATTTATCGGCAAAGAATCAAGCAAATTCTCATTACCGATTATTTGAAGAAGCAAAAAAATTCAATGAGCCTATTGAAGAAATAAAATCTATGATAGATAATTTGATCATTATGAACCATCAATTGTTCCCTCGACTGAAAGGAGGGTCATGTCGAAAAAAAGTGGCCAAAAAACGGAAATTCGTTTGTATGTGTGTGTGTCTGTCGCAGGTCGAAGGTCAAAGGTCAAAAAAACATTTTTTCCAAAAACGCTCAAAACTTCATAAAACATGGTTTGGGAGGGTGTTTTGACACTGAAAGTTGGTTGAGAGGGTGAGGACATGTGAGATAGGGTCGATGTTAAACATACATTGAGCCCTGAGGTCAACGGCCCATAAGAGAATTTCATTATGAGTGGAACAAAGATTAGGTAAAAGTTTTTCATAACTCCAAATCTGCAAGGAAATGTATCATACATTGAAACTGAAGATTCATTCTCAGAATGTAATGTAACTTGTATTTGTGATAGTAGGAGAATTTCCTTCGAAACACAA